TGTGTGTGTGTGTGTGTGTGTGTCTCTATCTAGGACATATATTTCATAACAGTGTGTGTTATAGCAATGGCAATATCAATTAGACTTACATATTGCTTCATAGTGGTTTACAGCAAGGGTCACCAACCTTTTGGACCTCAGGGACCATTAAATTCATAATTTTAAATCCTCCCACTAATATGATCTGCCTAATGACTGGCTGGGTGGTGTGACTAGGTGGTCATTTGACTTGGTGGGAATGGCCAACTGGATGTCACACATGTTGAGGGATACCTCACCAGCCTCTACTCGCCCCTCCCCTCCCAGCCACTCTTCTCCAGCCTGCCCGGGTCTTTAGGGCCCCAACAGAAAGCAGTTGTTGAAGCTAAGCAGCCACCAAAAGAACGAATTGGTAAAATTGCTCAGTTCAAATTGGATCTGACCGAGAAGGAGGCTCAGCAGAAGCACTTCACTGAGCATTACAAACTTAGGTTTTCCAAGCAGAGGGAAGACCTGCGGGAGTGCAAGACCAGGTACCGGCGCCTGGAGGCTCAGCGGGCAGAGATGGTCAGCCATTCCAAGCCATGATGCAGTCCCACTGGAACAATGACCTCCAGCTCTTCACCAGCAGTGGTGCTTTCCTCCAGTCTTCACCCAAAGCCCCGCACCAGGAGGCTGAAGCAGACCCCAAGTCAGAATTTCTTCCCCTCCCTCAACCCACACAAAATGACCCCAAAAAGGGAGACTCTCTGCAACAACATAAATATTCATTGCATGTATCTGTCCCACGCAGTGGTGGGATTCAAATAATTTAACAACCGGTTCTCTGCCCTAATGACCAGCTGGGTAGGCAGGGCTCAGTGATCATGTGACTGGGAGGGTATGGCGAACTCAATGTCACTCATGTCAATGGGTGCTTTGCCTTAGCTGCTATAATGTAATAAAGGTTAACCAGAGGGGCAGTTTCTGTAAGCAGGGCAATAAAGATGATGCTAGAAACAACACCAGAATGTTTCCTTCCTGCCTTCCTTACAGGATTAGCCCTGTAAAGTGGGGGGAAAACAAAGGGAGATTTCGTCCAACAATCGGTTCTCCGAACTCTTTAGAAAGTTAACAACCGGTTC